CTGGTTTGTTGTTTTATCTCCCCATTTCTCTGGGATAGACAACTGGGAATTAATCCCATCCTTTCATTCTAAAGCCTGATGAGCTTTTCTTTTTCCTGATTGCTCCCTGAGGGACTTGGAAATTTAGTTTTTTTGGGGAAAAAAAACCAACTCCTTGTGGGAATCAACCCTTTCTCCTCATGATTTTCACTCTTTATAATAATTGTATGTGCATGTCTTAATTAATCCTTTCCAGCAAGAATGGGATGGGCTTCTCCTGCTGATAAATAATGTAAAAATCCACAACCACAGGAACAAACTGCTCCTTTTGCCTGCGTTTCATTTCCAGTGGTGGCAGGGGAGGCCTCCTCTCCTCCTTTCATCCCTGGTGTCGTCGAAAGTGTTTTGTTTTTCTGTACATACAAAAATAACCACAAAATCTCCTCTGCAGAGGCTTAACAAAGAGTGCACAAACTGGATCTGTGGCGAGGAGCTCTCCTGACACTGAGGGTTGCTGATTACAGCACCAATTAACGCATCACCCACGGGCTGCTGTGGCTCCTTTCGCAATGGAATCCTTCTCTTTTTGCTTCTTTTCACCCGGAATTATTTCAGTTTTCCCAGGGCCAGGTTGTCCATTTTTCTGTGCTTCCCCTCCTCCTAATACATCCTTAATTTTATTTATGATACTGAAATGGTTATCTTAAATATGATTTTTTTTTCTGCTTTTTGCATAGTTAAAACTTTTTTTTTTTCCTTTGTAGCTCATTGAATCTTTGTTTTTGCATGATTTCTTGTGGGGAAGGCAGAGGAGAGGTGGATGTGTTTGGATCCTGCTGTTTTGTGTGTCATTAATATGAATTCCATGGAGCATTCTTGGACTTTTTCCCAAAACTCCACATCCTGACCTGGATTTGCCCAGTTTTTGTGGTGCAGACTTTAAGTGGTGCGAGCACAGTTCATTTTAGGTTGCTTCTGAACCTTTTTTGGGAAGGTTTTTTTACAGATCACTGTGATCACACCTCAATTAGAGTGAGCAATAAAAAAATTCCCTTGCTCATCCACTCTGCAAGGTGACCTCCCTCAAACTAGAGAATAGAATCCTTTGGAGTTAATTGAGGAGAAACGAAAGGAAAACAGTGAAATTGTGATTCCAGGGTTCTAGAGATGCCAACAAACTCAAAAAGCTTTTTTAAAATTTTCTTTTGAATTTTGGGGAGCTGTTGTTAAACCCAAGGGAATGGATTCCAAGGGCGATCAAGCCCCTTGTCCCACATGGGATCACACACTGGTTTGGGTTGGAAGGGGCCACTTCTTCCCAAACTTTCTGCCAGGGAACTTCCCAAAACAGAGCAGGAATTGCTTTTATCTGCCTGTAACTCCTGCTCAGGACTTGGGGATGTCAGGAAAGCTCCAGGCTGGTGATGCTCCCTGGGCAGGTGGGGAAGTTCAGCTCCTCCTTTCTTCCCAGAGCTGCCAAATTGCTGTATAATCCACCTGAAAAATTACATTTTTTCACTCACAGGGACACAACTTTTCAAGCTCACATCATCTTGAAACTGGCCTAAAACCAGGGCTGGTTGCACAGAACATTTGTTAAATGTTCTGCTTGGTTTGGATCTCTTTAAACTCCATGTGCTGACTCCTCCCAGCACCATTTCCTTCAGAACAGGAGCTGAGATTTGAGCTCTGTTCTGCCACTCCAGGTGTGTAGGTAGTTCTCTTTTTCCTTTTTTTTTTTGGCTCATGGTTTGTTTTTCCTGTCTTTGGAGCTTCTCCAATTTCTATTTTCTCCCTTATTTCAGTGCTGCCTCAGCCACGACTTCCCCTGTGAGAGGAAGAAGCAAATCTGTCAATAAACTGAATTTAACGTGGTTATCTTTAGCAGCTTGGTCTTTTTTTTATTTTTTCCCCTCCTTTTTGCATGTTTGTTTTTAACCAGCCTGTCTCCAAAAAGCTCCAGCCAAACCCTTTCCCAGCTCACAGAAAAGCCCAGAATTGTTTAGGTTGGAAGGAACCCCACGAAATTATCCAGTCCAACCCACAAACTGCACTGAGGGTTTAAAACCTTTGTTTTTCTGACCATAAAATGGGCCTGTGTAAATAAAAATAAGCATGTCTGGAAATTAAATTCTTCCTATCTCTCACTACAGGCAGAAAGGAAAAACTTTTTCCAAGGAAAAACTCTGTTCTCTCAAGATTGGGAATCTGTTCAGATCTGTGGTTGCTTGCTTTTGGGAATCCTGATGGAATATTTGGGGTTTTCTAAATTTCTGTTACTTCCTTAACAATAATTCACTTTAAAGCATCTACTTAGAGACTGGATTTTGCAAGTTTTACCGTTGCAAGACAAAATGATTGTTAAAAATGTGCTTTTTTTTTTTTACACTTTTGGGGCTCTGCGAATGGAGAGGAGGATGGACGTGTGCAATTAAAACGGGTTTGGCACAACAACGCCACCAAAGAAAAAAAAGCAGATTAAAATGCCACATGTGAGCCCAGCTAGCCAAACCTCCCTGGGCAGGCCAGTGGGGCGAGCTGGGACTTGTGGGGTTGGTGGTGCTGGTGACTGGATTTGTGTTTTTGTTTTATAATTATTCCTCAGGAGCACCGAGATGCTGTCGGTGTGAGTGAGTCACAAACAGCCTGGTTTCACTGTGGGCCTTGCTAAAAATATCCTAATCGCTCTGACCCCCACCTTTTCACCATTTTTTGGGTGCTTTTCTCCCGTTGGATTTTTCTGCCTTCCGTTCAATTCCTCCAGAAATTAAAAAAAAAAAAATCAGGATTAAAACCTGCAGAAGGACCTCGTAGGAAAACTTGAAGCAGTTTGTCTGCCAGCTTAGGAGCTGAGAGGTAAAATATAAAATATTTTCATGGATTCCCAGGTATCTCAGTGTGTTCTCTCTGCTGTCTTTTGTGCTCCAGGTTTTCCAGGAGAAAAAAAGAAAGAAAAACTCAGGAAACCCCTGGAGCGCTGCCCTGTCACCATGGGCTCCACAGTGTGGGAATGTGGGTGAAAACTCAAGATTTAATTCACACCAGAGGACTGAGAAGGGGCAAAAAAAGAGGAAAATTCCACCTGGAACCTGCCTGGACCGAGCTGAGGATGCTGAACACAGAAACTCTTCCAGCTGGGAGGAGCCTGGAGCGAAGGCTGACGGAATTGTGGTGAAAATTTGGGATCCGTGAGGAGCCTCCGGGGGGGAAGGATGGCTGTGGGCTGGCTGCTCTGCTGCCTCTGGATTTTGGGGGGCTGCGTGACCCCCACAGCGGGGCACAGCCTCTTCTCCTGCGAGCCCATC